AGGTCTCCTGCACTACAGGCAGATTCTTTACTGACTGAGCTACCAGGGAAGTCCAAATAATTTACATAGAGATTTCATCCTCAGGGAGGGGAGCAGAACCCCCAGTCCTTAGATGTGGACTGAGCACATGACTTCCTTCTAAACAGCACAGTATGGAGAGCGAGGATGAGTGATGCCCCCGTGGAGAAATCTGGTAACCTCTACTTCAGTCAGCTGAGCACTGCGAACATCAGCCTTCCTGTCAGGTTGACAATACGTACCACTGGTAAAATGTGATGAAAACGGCACTTCTCTCCTGCGGTCTTCCTATCAACAGCCCATAACCCCAGTCTCACCCTGAGGAAAGCATCAGACAAATCCCAATAGCTGGACATTCTACCAAATATCTGCCCAGTTCTTCTGAGAAAACAAAGTCTGAAAAAGTGTCAACCAAGGGAAACTTGGAGAAACAGTGACTTTGTGTAACATATCGACGTGCTTGATGAGATCTGAGAACAGGAAGGGACAAAAGGACATTAGGAAAAACTACAAAAATTTGAATGAAGTATGACTTTAGATCATTAGAGAGAGAGAGGAAGGAAAAGACAGGAGGAGAGAGAGACAGAGAAATAGTCAATTTCTACAACACCTACCCTAACCTCAAACCTCAATCATTTTATAAGAGTGAGCTAAACCCAATGCAGATACAAAGATAAAACAGCTTTCCTTTTCTCTCAGCCACAATCTTCCAAGAGGCCTTGTGCCTTTGTCAGATTCACAGGTTGATCCCACAGCTTTCTCGTTTTTAGGAATTAAAAAGCCCAGTCAGTCCTAAGTAAATCAAAATGTGCTTCTCACATGAAATTTCTGGTTTGTGGGAAGAGGAGAGACACTCTCTCTTTCTGCACTTTCTTTTCCCACTCCCCCACCCCTGTCCCCACTATGTCCCGACACCCCCCCCCATTATCCCACCTGACACCCTCCTCACCCCCCACTAGGGAAAGGAAAGAGGGAGGGTGCTGGAAGGTGTACCAATCTCTTTCTGTTTGTCTGGTGCTGTTTATCTTCTCTCTTAGCTCCGAATACCCTTGTGTGCAGCAGACACTCCACTGCCAGCTTTTCATCGAGTGCCTTTTAGCCCCAACGTGTCCTCCACGTCAAACAGTTCCTAACGCAGCTGCAGGACTCTGGCTGACCTCTTGCTCACCCTCAGCTGCCTCCCACAAGGTGCTCCCTGCAGCCTGTCGCTGCTGGGGTCCCCTCCCCTCTGCAGCTAGGTCTCACCCAGCTCCCTTCAGCATGACAACCCAGCTCTCAGGAGGCTCAGGTCCTGGTAAGGTACGCTGCTTGGGCTCTGCAGGCTGCCCTCTGCTACCCCTGTCCTCACAGGCTGCTCTGCTCAGCCTCCATGTCCACAAGTCTCCCCAGATCCAGGGACCATGTCGAGCAGGTGCACGCCATGGTCGGGGGCACAGTCTCCTGCAGGTTAGAGCCCCAACTCTAACGCACTGCTGTGTGTGGTGCTAAGTCGCTGAGAAATGCCCAGCTCTTTGTGACCCCATGGACTGTAGCCCGCCAGGCTCCTCTGTCCATGGGGACTCTCCAGGCAAGAATACCCGAATGGGTTGCCATGCCCTCCTCCAGGGAATCTTCCCAACCCAGGGATCGAACCCAGGTCTCCAACCCAGCTCCACTGTAATCTAACAATAGTATTAATTTCCATTCCATAGGATTAGTAGGAAGATTTTTTAACAAAATATAAAGCTCTTATAACAACACTGGGCCCATAAGCATGAAGTGCTGTAAAGTGTGTGACAGACACACAAAGGCCTCCCTCGCCCCACTTCTCCACGTCTGCACTTACAGCGGAGGCATTCCCTTCTCACAGGTATCCCGCTCTTAAGGTTTGGGTCTCCTAGAACCCCGTCTCTTGGCTTTATGACCTGGCGGAGGAGAGAACCAGCAGGGGACTCCTTACCAAGCAACAGCCCTCCACCTCAAGGCTCCCTTTCCTGCCACAGAGGACCACATACCTTCTCAGAGAGCTGACATCTGTCCTGTCTACTCTCTCCTCTCTATAGAGATAAACAGATAGTGGTATATTTTTGAAGAAAACCATTTAAAAGTAAATTGCAGAAATCATGCTGACACTTCATCCCCTAAACATTATGGTATTGAGAACTTCCCTGGCAGTCTGGTGGCGGGCACATGGCAAGCCAAAAACAAAACGAAACAACAAACACAACCCCCCAAAAAACCTTATGATATCCGTTTTCTAAGAATATTAATCTCCTAAGAATATTTTCTAAAATATTCTCCCATCTAATCATGATACTAGGCTTGTATCTAAGAAAATTAACATTAATTCCATAATATCGTCTAATCTCCAATCTTTGTTCACATGTCTTCAGTTCTCCCCCTAATATCTTTTGTAGCTTTAAAAAAAAACCCATTTTTTAAAATCCAGGGTCCAACCAAGTTTCACATATTGCATTTGGTAGTTGTGTCTCTTTAGTCTCTTTGCTCTAGAAATGCCCTTGTCTTTTTTTTTCTTTTCTTAATGAAGTCCACCACTTTGAAGATTCCAAGCTAGCTGCTGTGAAGAAGAGCCCACAGCATGAGTTTTCTTCATACACTATTACCATCTCTCACCAAGAGGGAGGAGGCTGAGGGAGCCTCTCTTTAGAACATATGATCCTCATCATCTCTTATTTTCAGACTAAGGACCCAGGCTGGAATTCAGAGGTGGCCAGAACATTGTTGTTCAGTCGCTAAGTCACATCTGACTTGTTGTGAACCCATGGACTGCAGCCTGCCAGACTTCCCTGTCCTTCACTGTCTCCTGGAGCTTGCTCAAGCTCATGTTCATTGAGTCGGTGACGCCATCCAACCATCTCATCCTGTTGTCCCCTTCTCTGCCCTCAATCTTTCCCAGTGCCAGGGTCTTTTCCAATGAGTTGGCTCTTCGCATTAGGTAGCCAAAGTATTGCAGCTTCAGCTTCAGCATCAGTCTTCCAACGAATATTCAGAGTTGATTTCCTTTAGGATTGACTGGTTTGATCTCCTTGCTGTCCAAGCAACTCTCAAGAGTCTTCTCCAGCACCACAGTTCAAAAGCATCAATTCTTCAGCACTCAGCCCTCTTTATGGTCCAACTCTCACAACCATACATGACTACTGGAAAAACCATAGCTTCGACAGTATGGCCTTTTGTTGGCAAAGTGATGCCTCTGTTTTTTAATATGCTGTCTAGGTTTGTCATTGCTTTTCTTCCAAGGAGCAAGCGTCTTTTTATCTCATGGCTGCAGTCACCATCCGCAGTGATTTTAGAGCCCAAGAAAATAAAATCTGCCAGTTTCCATTGTTTCCCCATCTGTTTGCCATGAAGTGATGGCCAGAACATGCCTATTCCTTATTTGGTTTCACAGGTTGTTGGAGGGGCGTTTCAGGAGCCTACCCTGCGATCAGCCTGGACGGAGTGCCCAGGCAGGGTCCCTCCTCATGGGGACAATGGGAAAGTGGTCTGGACTAGCCCAGAGACTTTCACTCCCAGCACCCTGCCCTGCCTGTGTGAGAAGGAAGCATTCCCTCCTGACTCTGGATCCTGAAAGGAGCTGGATCTTCCTCCCCAGGGACATAGCACCTATGCCCGCAAGAGCTGCCCCCGGGCCTTGGGAGGTAGGTGGAGCTGGGTTTTGTGGCCCAAGGCCAAGAGCTAATCCTTTCAACTTTTTTTGGCCACTTTGCTGTCAGGTGACCAGGACAGCAGGGCCAATCCGATAGGGGTGCTCTTTATAAAAGTCCCCTCAGCTAGGGCCAGAAGCTCCGGATCAGCCCCCACAATCCTGCTGACCTCCAGCACCTGCCTCTACAGGTACCTTTCTTGGGCCTCTTTCATAACCCTTGGGATCCCCCAATATATATCTGGGGAATCACTGGAGATGGAGGGAAGCAGGGACCCTGGGTTAGATGTAGGAAGCCTGAGTTCTAGTTCTTGCTGCCCAGTTCCAGACTTCAGTTTCCCCAATTTTAAATGAGAAGCTTAGACTGGGCCTCTCTAGGGATTCTAAGTGTGACTGGAGTGGAGAGGTGGGTAGGGCTCCCCACCTGGCATGAGGATAGCCCTGGTCTGGCTACAGTCCAACCTCAGCCTTCAAGACTGTGAGAGGATTTCCCTGGTGGTCCAGTGGTTAAGAGTCCTCCTTGCAATGCAGGGGATGCAGGTTCAATCCCTGGTCGGGGAGCTAAGATCCCACATGCTACAGAGAAACGAAGTTCATGCACTGCAACTAAGACCCAAAGCAGTCAAATAAATAAATATTTAAAAGCAGTGAGAGGATGTGAGAGACTTCCCTGGTGGTCCAGGGGTTAGCACTTTCGCTCCAGGGGACGCAGGTTCAATCCCTAGTCTGGGAACTGAGATTCCCATATAATGAGCTGCACAGCCAAAAAATAAAAATCAAAAAGGACTGAGAGAATGAGGATTTGTCCTCTCTTTTGTGTCTTAATAAAGAATGCCCTAGGGAAGAGTGTATCAAAAGCCATTTGTATGAGCCCTGGGATCCTGGTCTCATCAGTGTTGTGAAGAGGGGAGCAGCTCTCTGTTTCCAGGGTATGAGGAGGTATCAGCAGGAGGGGTCCCCAGGCAGGCATTCCTTGGCACAATGACCAGCATACACCCTGCACTGGGGTTTGCAAGAGTGCTTCCCTGTTTTGAAGTGATCACTTCAGCCTCAGAATTGGAAACAGGTGATAGGCAGAGGGGAGGGCCAGGACTGGGAGTTCAGACACTCACATTGGGAATCTCAGGGCTCCTTTCCAGGCCTCAGATTCTGTGATGCACTGTGGATGAGGTCCTGGGATGCAGGACCTATGTAATTTAGTGGATGTAACTCAGTCTTTCTCAGTCTGTTCGGCTGGGAACTGAGGACAGAACGTGGGCAAGTGCTTTTTGACTGAGTAAACAAATGAATGAGTGGCTCCATCTCATCCCTCCTTCCTCTTCTCCTTCAGTGGGTACAGATGGCATCGTCCCAGCCCAGTCCCTTCTCAGCCATGGAGCTTCTCCTGGCCTCTGCCGTCTTCTGCCTGGTATTCTGGGTGGTCAGGGCCTGGCGGCCTCGGGTCCCTCAAGGCCTGAAGAGTCCACCGGAGCCCTGGGGCTTGCCCCTGCTCGGGCACTTGCTGACCTTGGGGAAGAACCCACACATGGTCCTGTCACAGCTGAGCCAGCGCTATGGGGACGTGCTGCAGATCCGCATTGGCTGCACACCCGTGCTGGTGCTCAGTGGCCTGGACACCATCCGGCAGGCCCTGGTGCGGCAGGGCGATGATTTCAAGGGCCGGCCCGACCTCTACAGCTTCACCTTGATCTCTGATGGCCAGAGCATGACCTTCAACCCAGACTCTGGACCGGTGTGGGCTGCCCGGCGACGCCTGGCCCAGAATGCTCTCAACACCTTCTCCGTTGCCTCAGACCCGTCTTCCTCATCCTCCTGCTACCTGGAGGATCACGTGAGCAAGGAGGCTGAGGCCCTCCTGGGCAAGTTCCAGGAGCTGATGGCAGGGCCTGGGCGCTTCGACCCCTATGGCCACGTGGTGGCATCGGTGGCCAACGTCATCGGTGCCATGTGCTTCGGGCAGCACTTCCCCCAGAGCAGTGAGGAGATGCTCAGTCTGGTGGAGCGCAGCCATGAGTTTGTGGAATCCGCCAGCTCTGGGAATCCTGTAGACTTCTTCCCCATCCTTAAATACCTGCCCAACCCGGCTCTGCAAAGGTTCAAGAGCTTCAACCAGAGGTTCCTGCAGTTTGTGCGGAAAACGGTCCAGGAGCACTACCAGGACTTTGACAAGGTGAGCCCAGGGTGCAGGCGGTATGAGGGCACCCGAGAGTCTGGGTGTGGCCCCCCTCCCCCAGCACCAAGGCACCCACACAGCTGTATGTGGCCAAGGCCCAGGAAGTCTCTGGGACACCTCGGGCCAGCTGTGTGACCTGGAGCCAGTCCCTCCCCCTCTCTGGCCTCAGTTTCCTTGGGCCTACAGCATCCTTCTCAGGGCTGCTCAAAGCCCCAGAGAGGTAACCCCATGCAAGGGGCCCCGGCAGAGCCCACAATGCAGGGTGCTGTTATTAGGAGAAGGCTTTTGTTTTACAGGAACCTGAACCCTGACCGAGGCTAATTCCCAGCTCACATGTCACATTGCTTCCCTGTACTCACACCAGCCTCCTCCTGTGAAATTGGACCCCTGGGGTTATTGAGAGGAAGGGTCAATGGAGAATGAAATGATACTTTAAGCTCTACCTAGGGCTGCTACTGAGCTTCCCAGGTGGTGCTAGTGGTAAAGAACCCTCCTGCCAATGCAGGAGACGTGAGCTCAATCCCTGGGTCGGGAAGATTCCCTGGAGGAGGGCATGGCAACCCACTCCAGTATTCTTGTCTGGAGAATCCCATAGACAGAGGAGCCTGGCGGGCTACAGTCCATAAGGTCACAGAGTTGGACACAACTGAAGTGACAGCACACACATGGGGCTACTACCAGCTGCTGCCGTGAGCTCAACTTACTGCCCAGAGGCCAGCTGGTGGGGCCATAAGGGATGGGACAAGGGACCCCAGCCTTCCACCCCAGGAGTGCTAGGATGACCCTAAACTTATGCCCCCTCAGAACAGCATCCAGGACATCATAGGCGCCCTGTTCAAGCACAGTGAAGATAATTCCCAAGCCAGCAGTCGCCTCATCTCCCAGGAGAAGACTGTCAACCTGGTCAACGACCTCTTTGGGGCCGGTAGGAGCCAGACCCTTGCCCCTCCACCCCTCAGTGCCTGCTGCTCACCCACAGCCTTGCCCAGCCTTGGGGTCCATCAGACAACCCATCAACCACAAGTCAGGTGGTATAGGACACAGAGACCAGGCCCAGACTCAAGGTTTGAACCTAGAAGGTACCACCAACTCCTGGTGAAAGCCCAGCCAAGTCCCTCTCCTCCTCTGGGTCAGTTTCCCCATCTAAACAATAAAGGCTTCCTTCTTTGGTCTATAAGTCTGGGCCCTTGTAATCCCAGCAGCTAAACTTAAAGGCAGTTACTCAAGTTTGTGCAGAGGAGACTCTGCCTCAACCCTTAGAAAATTCAAGGTGAGGGTCTTCAGGGGAAAGGAAGCAGAGAAAGACAATGCTTGCTACATACATGGTGGGTGCTTGGTAAATACTGCCTTCTCATTCTTGTCTTCCTTTCTTCCTCACCATGCCCCATGTCATCCAGGGTTTGACACCATCACAACAGCCATCTCCTGGAGCCTTATGTACCTTGTGACAAATCCTAAGATACAGAGAAAGATCCAGGAGGAGCTGGGTATGTGGTGTCCCCCAACCCTCTGGTGGAGGGAAATCTCGGGGTCCCAGGTCATCTGTTCAATCTACATACACCTGTTATGTGTCTACTAAGCCCTGGGCATGCAGTTCTGCCCACCCTTGCCTAGAAGATACTGGAGGGTCACTGGGTCTCAGACCTGTAAACTGACACAGTACCACGTAGGGTGATGCCTGGTATGAATGGGGGCGCAGATGCCATGGAGCAGGGGAGACAGTCCCTCAGCCTTCTCTGTCCTCCGTGCTCTGCAGACAGAGTGATTGGCAGGGCGCGGCGGCCCCGGCTCTCCGACAGATCCCAGCTGCCCTATTTGGAGGCCTTCATCCTGGAGACCTTCCGACACTCCTCCTTCGTCCCCTTCACCATCCCCCACAGGTGAGGCCTGCTTCTTCTGCCTTCGCACCCCTGAAGTCTTTGCCCCCTTTCCCTCCTGCTTCTCAGCCCTGGCGCTGGTCAGACCTTGGCATCTCCCTCCTGACCATGACACCAGATTCCTCCCAGACTCTGCCCCCATCCAGTCCAAACATGATCAAAGTACCCAGCTCTCGGAAGAAAACCAAACTCTGACCTCAGCTCTCATTCACCTCCACTCACATTCCCTCCTTCAAGTATGCTCAACCCAGCCAGACTGGCCTAACCACCCCTCACGAACATGAACCGGTCAGCCTCCGATTTTGCTTATGCTGGAACTTCTGCTTGAAATACCTCCTACCCTCTTCTCTGGCTACCAGAATCCTATCTCATCCTTTTCTGACACAAACTTCCCGTCCCCTAGAAGCCTTTCTCGACTCATCCAGCTGGCATAACTTCATTCTGATATTTTGTAGGACTTAGAGCCATTTGTCCTGTAGGATTAGGTCCTGGGATGTTAAGAATGTCAAGAGAGTTAGCGAGCACTTACTTCAGCCCATATGTTGGTCTAATTATTCCCAGAGGAAGAGGCCTAACTCCTTAGCCAGACTGGGAACTCCCCAGGACCAGCCCAGACTGCCTGCTTCTTGGCTCCGGAGAATGGCCCAGGGCACAGTTGGCTACAGGCAAAAGTTTAGTAAACATTTGTTGAAGAACAGGATCCAAGAAAGGGGAAGAACCATCTCAACCCTTCCTTGCTCCTGAAATTCCCTCCGAGTGTACAGTGGGGAGACCACGGTGGGCAGGCTAATGGAGTGGGGTGGAGGTAGGCGCAAGAACCTCCTGAGGTGGGGGAGGGGGGCTTCATCCTGGAGACCTTCGGACACTCCTCCTTCGCCCCCTTCACCACCCCCACAGGTGAGGACTACGTGTTCTGCCCTCCCACCCCGGCAGTCTTTGCCGTGTTTTGTCCCCTGCTTCCGGAGAGAGAAATTAGGAGTTTGGGATTAATGTGTATACAACTATTATATATAAAATAAATAATAACAAGGACATACTATATAGCACATAGAAGAATATTCAATATCTTCTAATAACCTATCATGAAAAGAATCTGAAAAAGAATACCTGTATATCAATTTACAATGTTGTATTAGTTTTGGATATTTGTTTCATCAAAGTTTCAGCAAACTTTGAAACAAACAAACTTGTTTCAATTAGTTTCAGCAAAGTGATCCAGTTTTACAAATAAAATTAGGAGTTTGAGATTCAATTTTACAGATAAAATTGAATTACTTTGCTGTACATCTGAAACTAATGCAACATTGTAAATTAGCTATATGTCAAATTTTGGACTTCCTCAGTGATCCAGGGGTTAAGACTCTGCCTTCCAGTGCAGGGGATGTGGGCTCAATCCCTGGTTGGGGAGATAAAGTTCCACATGCCACAGGCGTGGGGCCAAAAAAAAGTTTTTAAAAGATGCCAATAATTATATTTAATTTTTTTAATGGTTAAAAAAAAACCCTCCCAGAGACACCTCAATTTTCCAGCCCCTGAACCTGACAAAGCCCTCTTCCCTCCTTAGCACAACAAGGGATACAACACTGAATGGCTTCTTCATCCCCAAGGAACGCTGTGTCTTCGTAAATCAGTGGCAGGTCAATCATGACCCGTGAGTACACAATCCCCACTGAAAAATGTGTGATGTTCAGCAGTCAGGAAAGCTGTTTGTTCACCTAGGAACTGGTTACACAATAAAGGAACGGTGCCTCGATAGCTAGTTAGCCTGCTCTAAGGGATAAAATGTATGTCCATGTTTCTCAAACTTTAGTGCATTGACTAGGAAGTTGGTTATAGATTATGGAGCTCTGTACCCCAACGTTCCGCATCAGGAGGTAAGGTGGATTACCTCAGATGATTCTGATGTGAATGACTTAGGGACTTCTTTGGATAATCCCACTTTAGTCTATAAGTAGAAGGATCATATAATTTACCATCCAAACTAGGGCCCTTCTGAGTGCAAAAAAGGATGCTATCAATAATTACTACAAAACCATAAGCATAAATGAAGATGGACTGCTGGTCCCCCTTGTATATTGAGTAGGATAGAGATGGACAGATGTTCCTTCTTTTAACTTCTTTTAAAGTATGATTTCTTTAAAATAGCAAGTTACTACTAAAAAGCACTATTTCCAAGGCTGGTGATTTTAGAGAGAGTTATGTAAAGAAATAAGCATCAGAAAACAGTTTGGCTCCTTTCTCCACTCTCCTTTCATTGTTCTATTAGATAGATCTATTCTAACACAGAAGTCCCCCCCCACCAGGCCCTTCCCCTGCAGGGTCTCCCCACCCAGAGATTTCACTTCCTCTGTTCATCTTGCAGGAAGCTCTGGGGGGATCCATCTGAGTTCCGGCCAGAGAGATTCCTCACGTCTGATGGCACCGCCATCGATAAGATCTCGAGTGAGAAAGTGTTACTCTTCGGCATGGGCAAGCGCCGGTGCATAGGGGAGGTCATGGCCAGGTGGGAGGTCTTCCTCTTCCTGGCCATCTTGCTGCAGCAGCTGGAGTTCAGCGTGCCACCAGGTGTGAAAGTGGACCTAACCCCCACCTACGGGCTGACCATGAAGCATGCCCGCTGTAAGCATGTGCAGGCACGGCTGCGCTTCCCCATCAAGTGAAGAAGTTGCCGGCCTTCTGAGGCAGAGGGAAGGGAAGGGTGGGGGTCACTGAGGGACACTTGTTTCTTTTCCTTTCTTTCTTTTTAACTAACAACTATATATACCATATAATTGTAGGCCAATTACACTTCAAAAAATAAACAACCTCATAGAAAAAGAGATTAGATTTGTGGTTACAGTGGGGGAGGGAAAATTTTAATGAAGGTGGTCAAAAGGCACAAATTTCCAGTTATAAGATAAATAAATAAGTACTAGAAATGTGATGTATAATGTGATTAATATCATTAACACTACTGTACATTATATATGAAAGTTGTTGAGAGTCAATCCTAAAAGTTCTCATCACAAGAGATAATTTTTTTCTATTTCTTTACTTTTGTATCTATTCCAGATGATAGATGTTCAGTAAACTTATTGTGATAATCATTTCATAATGCTTATAAGTCCATCATTATGCTGTATACCTTAACTTATAGAACGCTATACGTCAGTCATATCTCAACAAAACTAAAAGAAGAAAGGGGCAGAAGACGTGGATAGACAGTTCTCTAAAGAAGATATGCAAAGGGACAAGTACACGAAAAAAATACTCAACATTATTAGTTATTGCATGCATGTGTCCAATTCTGTGTGACCACAAGGACTGCAGCCTGCCAGGCTCCTTGGTCCATGTGATTCTCCAGGCAAAAATACTGGAGTGGGTTGCCATGCCCTCCTCCAGGGAACCTTCTCAATCCAGGGACCGAACCCATGTCTTTTATGTCTAACCTGCATTGATAGGTGGGTTCTTTACCACTAGCGCCACCTGGGAAGCCCTATTTGTTATTAGGGAAATGCAAGTCAAAAATACAATGAGGTATCATTTCACACCACTATAATAAAAATTAAAAACTAGACTGTTATTTGGGGACCCCCTGGCAATCCACTAGTTAGGACTCCATGCTTACACTGCATGGGGTGCAGATTCGATCACTGATCAGGGAACGAAGATCGTGCAAGCTGTGCAGTGTGGGGGAAAAAAACTAAACTGTGATCATAGGATCACCTCAATAGATGTAGAAAAAGCATTTGATAAAATTCAACATCCATTTTTGATATTTAAAAAACTCAACGAAGTAGATATAGAGGGAATGTACCTCACATAATAAAGGTCATATATGATAAGCTCACGGTTAACATCATACTCAATGGTGAAAGCTAAAAGCTTTCTTCTAAGATCATGAGCAAGACAAGGATGCCCACTTTCACTACTTTTATTCAACATAGCATTGGAAGTCCTACCCAGAGCATTTAGACAAGAAAAATAAATTTAAGAGCAACCAAATTGGAAAAGAAGAAGTAAAACTCTCCTATTTGCAGATGACATGATATTATATTTAGAAAACCCTAAAGACTCCACTAAAAAATTACTATAAATTATAAACAAATTCAGTAAAGTTTCAGAATTCAAAATCAACATACAAATATCTGTGGCATTTCTATACACTGATAATGAACAATTGGAAAGAGAAATTAAGAAAGCAATCCCACTTACAATTGCTTCAAAAAGAATAAAATATCTACAGATAAATTTAACTAAGGAGGAAAAGAAGCCCACTGAAAACTGGACTTCTTCCCAATGACTTAGCAGGTAAAGAATCTACCTACAATGCAAGAGACACAGGAGACACGAGTTTGATCCCTGGGTTGGGAAAATACCCCAGAGGAAGAAATGGCAAGCCACTCCAGTATTCTTACCTGAAAAATTCCATGGACAGGAGCCTGCTGGGCTACAGTCCATGGGATCGCAAAGAATCAGACATGACTGAGCAACCAAGCAGGCATACAAGCACATTGAAAACAATAAGACACTGGTGAAAGAAACTGAAGAAGAAACAAATAAATGGAAAGACGTTCTGTGCTGATGGATTGGAAGAATTAATATTCTAAAATGTCCATACTTCCAAAGCAATCTACAGATTCAAGACAATCCACATCAGAATTCCAATGGCATTTTAAACAGATATATAACAAACAATCCTAAAGTTGGCATAGAAGCATAAGAAAAGATCCCAAATAAACCAAAGCAACTTTGAGAAGAAAGAATACAGTTGGATACATCATGTTCTCTGATTTCAAACTGTATTACAAAGGTATAGTCATCAAAACAGTATGTTATTGGCCTAAAAACAGACACAATAAAACAGAATAGAGAGCCCAGAAATAAATCTATGCATATATGGTCAATCAATTTATGACAAAGGAGTTAAAAATATCCAATGGGGAAAGGGTGGTCTCTTCAACAACCAGTGTTGGGAAAACAGGACAGTCAAATGCAAATGAATGAAACTGGATTGCTATCTTACACCACACACAAAAACTAATTCAAAAGGGATCAAAGATATATCCATAAGACCTGAAACCATAAAACTAGAAGGAAACATAAGTGATAAACTCCTTGATATTAGTCTTGGTGGTGATTTTTTGGGTTTGAAACCAAAGGCAATGGCAACAAAAGCAAAAATAAACAAACAGGACTACACCAAACTAAAAAAAACTTCTGCACAGTAAAGAAAACCATCAACAAAATGAAAAAGGCAACTGACAGAATAAGAGGTGTATGCTAAGTTGTTTGAATCATGTCTGACTCTTTGTGATCCCATGGACCATAATCTGCCAGGCTCCTCTGTCCATGAGATTCTCCAGGCAATAATACTGGAGTGGGTTGCCACGACCTCCTCCAAGGGATCTTCCAGCCCCATGAATCTGTAATTATATACATTATATATATATATATATATATAAATTATTTGTATATTATATAATTAAAAATTGCAACAGTATGAATCAGTCTTGAGGGCATTATGCCAAATGAAATAATTTAGACAGAGAAAGCCAAATAACATATGAACTCACTTATATGAGAAATCTAAAAATAAACATAAAGTCCCAATACCCCAAACTAACAAAAAATCCAAGCTCACGTGTCTAGAGAACAAACTGGTCATAGCCAGAGGTAGGGGTGGGGACAGGGGTTTCATACTGGGTGAAGGATGTTAAAAAGTACAAACTTCCAGCTATAAAGTAAGTAATGGGGATGTTATGTATAGTATGGTAACTGTAGTTAACAATAATGTTTTGAATATTTGAAAGATGCTAAGAGAGTACATCTTAAAAGTAATCATCACAAGAAAAAACCTGTAACTATAACTATGTGTGGTGATTTATGTTAACTAGATTTATGTGGTGATCATTTTGCAATATATACAAATATTGAATCATTATGTTTTATACCTGACACTATAATAATGTTATGTCAAGTATTCACAATTTTAAAAATGGACATTAACATGTTGGTGGGGACCTGGAAAAACTGTAACCCTTGTGCATTACAAGGATGAGTATAAAATGATACAATCCTTGTGGAAAATGGTTTGGCAGTTCCTCAAAAAGTTAAGCATATAATTACCATGTGACACAAGTCTAAGATATTTATATAAAAGAACTGAAAACAGGTGTTTGAACAAAAACTTGCATAGGAATGTCCAGAGCAGCATTCTTCTCAATAGTTAAAGGGTGGAAAGAACCCGAGTGTCCAACAGCAGGTGTACGGATAAATAAAATGTGGCATCGACATACGATGGAATACTATTCAGCCATGAAAAAGGGACGGCATTCTGATGCATTCTACAATATGTGTAAACTTGGAGAACATTGTGCTAAGTGAAATAAGCCTGGTACAAAAGGACACATATTATATGATCCCACTTACATGAGGTACCTAGATTAGGCAAATTTATAGAGAAAGAATTTTAGAGGTCACCAAGTGCTGGGGAAGGGGTTGGGAAGGGAAGAATGGAGAGTTACTGTTTAACAACTGCAGAGTTTCTCTTTAGGATAATGAAAAATTCTAGAAAGGAATAGCAGTGACAGTTGCACAGCATCACCAGTATACTTAACTCCCCTGACTGACACACAAATAGTTAAAATGGCAAATTTTGTTACACATATTTTACTACAATTTTTAAAGGCAAGTAAGACACAATAAAATATTGTGTTCAATAAAAAGAAACAAGCGTCAAAGCCATGAAAAGACATGGAGGAACTTTAAAGGCATATTGCTAACTGAAAGAAGCCAATCTGAAAAGGTTACCATTTTTATGAATTCAACTATATGATATTCTGGGAAAGGTAAAACAATGGAGACAGTAGCAGATTAGTGGTTGCCACAAGGTCAAGGATAAGGAGGTGGGCAGGACGAGGGAGAGATGAACAGGAGGAACACAGAGTGGTTTTAAGGCAGTGAAATGATTCTGTCAGTGCCATAATGGTGGGTTCATGGCATTTGTCTTGACCCACAGAATGTACAAGAGTGAACCCTGTTGTAAACTACGGATTTTAGTTACTAAAAATGTATCAATACTGATTCATTGATAGTAAAATAATTATGATTATTGCAAGTAATGCAAGATGTTAGTAACAGGGGAAAATGGGAGCAGGGAAGGCCGGTACAAGGGCATTCTCAGTACTTTCTGCTCATTTTTCTATATCCTAAAACTGTTCCAAAAATGGCCTATCAGTTAAGAACACAAAGGCAAGTAATCCAACAAAAATATTGCACAAACATTAGGGAACAAAGGCCCAGACTGTCCCCTGTCTTCACATGGCCCCAGGGTGGAACACTCACCATGCTCACGTCCATAGTTCCAGAGTCCCCTCTTCCCTTCCAATGCTCCCTAATTTCACATCCAGTGTTCCCACCTGCAAAATGGAGGCAGAGAGCTGAATTAGTTCAGTCTTATAAGAGCACTCTATTCTAAGTGCATACTAAGTTTGCTTTGGTCTTCGCAAAATCAGAGACCTGTGCACTATGTTTTTTGTTTTAAATGTTTATCTGGCTGCACCAGGTCTTAATTTCGGCATGCAAGATCTTTAGTTGTGGCATTCCAGATCTAGTTCCCTGGCCAAGGATGGAACCCTGGGCCCCCTGCATTAGAAGTTTGGAGTCTTAGCCACTGGGC